GGGAGGGAACCTTTCTTGTTCCGAGGGAGGTAAAACGGGGAAAAGCACAGTAAGCAAACTTGAGAGGCGTTTGCCAGATTATGTAATGTGTTTCCTTTGCGCTGTTCTCTCACTTATTTCTTCTGGTTTGCGTCGGCAGTGATTTTTAACACCAAGTGATTCGAGCCATGGGGCTGTGATGTGAATCCACAGAGGACGTGGGCCGTGACTTCCAAAAGCTCTTTGCTTTGGGTTTTTTTTAGTGTGTACACGAGCTCTGATAATGCCGTCCTCGGTGTCCTGGTTTCCTTCGGTTTTTTAAGAGTGTATGTTCAGCACCTCTCTCCCTTCTTGGTGCACCCCCTCCCCATGTCGATGAGGGATTTGTTGTGGTTGAAATGTGTTCTGATCCCAATGTTGCCTCTGTGAGAAGCCTAGTTTGGGATGCCCTTCATTTTATGGTAACAGGAGGTGACTGAGGCAAGGGAAGACAGTGATGAACCACCCATTTGGGTATTTTACTGTTCACATTCCAATGTGATAGCTCAGGAGACATTTTTTTCTTTCTTTCATTTTTTAATAAATACCCTGTAGTCTGAGTCATGTTAGCAAAGCCACAATACCAAGACTGTATTTTGTTACCTAGTGGAGTGTTGCCTTTAATATTATCCCTTGTAGACTTGGCCTAGAGCTCAGCTATTGGCCTCGGCATATTTTTGTGCGTGTTCATGTGGAGCTGCTCTGCAAGATGCTGTGTTTACATCAGTTCAGAAACAGTTTCACTGCAGAGCAAAAAAAATTCCTGCTTACCAGCTTCTCAGTACTTGGACTTGCTCAATCAGAGTAACCTTTCAAAGCTTGAATATTAAATCATGGAGGAATGTTTCTTCTATCCACCTAAGTTCCACCTCTCACATGCAGGTGTATAGCCAGCAGGATTTTTAATCTGAGCCCATGCAGGTCTCGTGCTCATCTTCCTCATTCACCTTCGTTCTCAAAAATACTGTAATTTTAAGTATAGCTCAAGGTCCCACAGTCAGGTGTGTCACACTGGTAATAAGCAGCAGCTATGTGGCTTGGTAGTGCAATAGCAAGAGCACCAGCGCTTCTAAAAAGTTCATTCTGGTTAAGCTCCCTTGGCGGGGAGGGGAGCATCGTACTCTCACACAAGCAGCCTTCAGATAACAGTCTGTTGCCATCTCTCTTCAGAATCCATGTGCTTTTTGCCTCTCAGGGGACAGTCTTGCCAGGTCCCAGACAAACCCACTCCAATGCTGCTAGTTTGTACTGCTGCTTGCTGCAGGCTGCTGTTGGATAGACATGATCTGTCCTCTTTGCACAGTGTAACTCGTGGCTGAGAGCTGGGGTGATTGAAGAGGATTGTTGCTTCTAGGCCAGTGAAAAAAATAACAGTTTGATTTTTTTTTTCTTTAGATCTTATCTCAGCTGTCAAAATGGAGCTTGACATTCAGTGTGAGGAGATGAGCCCATCTAGATGGGCTGAACTTCTGTCCATCATGAAATCCTGCAAAACCATCAGGTAGTAACTAGTTGTGTATCATCTCTGTTGCATTTATCTCCTATGTTTTCCAGCTGCAGAACTGTTGACCTGTGACTTAGAAATTGCACAGTAAAAGGAATTGTTCTACCTATTTTTATCCAGAAAGTTAATTTAAAGAGGAGGGGAAAAAACCCAACACTCTTGCAGAGCTTTTTCAACTACATATAAGCATCCTCTGGTGTGAAGTAATGCTGCCTTTGTTCTATGGCATGCCATAGAACTCAGCTAGGTAATGTGGTTATCTAAACATCTGATCACCATTTTGGTAATTCCGTCTTTCTCCTTCAAGAGAGGGAAGACATCTCTCTGCACTCATTAGGTTGCATGTTCTCTGGACTGCAGGTCAGATGCTGAGAAGTAACTGTTACTGTGTACAAGCCACATGCCAACAGCTTTTAATTCTTCTTCACTTGACCTTCAAATATATCTGCCTTGTGTGTCAAGCAAACCAGTAGGAGGGAGCCATCTCCAGGAGTGTAAGCTGTAGAACAGAGTTCAGAAGAGCTGCTTCTGCACTCTTCCCCCTCTTCTGGTTGGGAATTCACACCCCATGGACTGGCGTTGTCCTGCTTGGGCTGGAGAGGATGGGCCACATCAAGCCAGTGATGGCAGGTTGAAGGTGACTTGCTTTTGTTTTGCAAAGGAGCTTTTTGCAGGCAAGCTCCATGGATCTAATCTTGACTTCCCAAGGTTTGTCTTGAGTGGCAGAAGACAGGGGGATGGTTGTCTCCTGGGCAGAGGCTGGGCTACTGAAGACATAGCAGCCATCTCATCATAGTGTATGAGAGTGGATGCAGCAGGGATTCTTAATCGACACTGAACATGATCCCATTAGGAGCCAAGTCTTCTTGCCAGAGGGAGGGAAGGAAAAGCCTGCTAGAACCTCAGTTTTCATAGTGTTGTCTAAGGAGAAATGACCAGGCAACTTTTTGACAGACACAGCTGCAGCTGTGTCTGAGGCTGTCCTGAGGTCCTGATCCTTTTGTTGGGTCTCCTTTCAATTCAATTCTACCCTCATCAATTTAGCAACAACTAGAAGAAACACTGATGTCCAGTGGGAGAAGCCACTGCAACACTGCAAACTTGTAATTCGTATACAGAAAATCATGACAGAGAGAGATGGTACAGACCAGTGTGACTTACCTACAGGAAGTCAAACTGCTGAGGGGTGTCTCTGGGGCTGGCTGAAGCTGGTCTGCGGCTGACTTGGCTGGTCTCAGTGCAGAACCAGTCTGTCAGCCTGTAAGCTGGCCTCTGGTTAGACGTGGCTTCAGGCACCAGGTACTTTGTCTCTATCAATGTTTAAATGAAGTTGCATCCTCCAGCTGAAGCAGTGCCAAGGGGACGTGGCTTGAGTCACGTGCCTTCTTCAGCGCAGCACAGAGGAGGCCCATGGCTTGGGGAACTGCCGTCCAGCCTGTCCTGTACTGCCACCCTGCAGAGAGAGCACATCTCGGTTTGGGGCATGCATCACCCAACAGGCCATGCACATACTTACAGAGGTGTCCCAGGGTCTGCAGAGGAGTAAATCACCCCTTTTGCTTTTATGGAAAACGCCAGGGAGAACAGAGAACTCTGAGGACTAAAGTGCTTTTCCTTCTCTTTCAGACTGGATGACTGCAATCTTTCCAGCAGTAACTGTGAGGATCTCTCCTCCATCATCAATACAAATCCATCCCTCACAGAGCTAAAGCTGAACAACAATGAACTAGGAGATGCAGGCATTGAATACCTCTGTAAAGGGTTGCTGATGCCAAGCTGCAGCCTACAGAAGTTATGGTAAAGTCCTGTTGATTGTCTTGCTTTAATATGATTGCGGTCTGCTGCAGCTGAAGTCATGAGGAGAACTAGTATGTGATGGTAGTAAGAGCCATACCTAGCAGTTATCTAGGTCAGATGGTTGCAAAACCCCAGAAACTTTTACAGAATCACACACAGAACATTAGGAGTTGGAAGGGACCTCAAAAGGTCATCCAGTGCAAGCCCCCTGTCGGAGCAGGATCACCTAGACTAGGTCACACAGGACCTAGTCTTAATACCATTACCTAAATGGTATATTTATCGGAACACTCTGGATCATCAGTCTTTTTGTCTTTGTCTTACCTAGTCTTAATACCATTACCTAAATGGTATGTTTATTGGAACACTCTGGATCATCAGTCTTTTTGCCTTTGTCTCCCAGCACTGAGGGAAGGACAAGTAGGGTTTTCCCAGCCAAGTGAATGCTTTCTGGAGACTTTCTTTAGAAGAGGTAGCAGACTTTCCCCCAGCCTAGGCAGCTGGGTTAACTGAGCCAGTTTGAACTAAAGGATGACCACAGAAGGCCCCACTCTGCAATTAGGATACCTGACATTTTCACAAGTGCATTTTTCAGAGGGTTCTTCTACTAGCTTTAAGCACAGCAAGCATCTGGTCCAGTTTGTTCATTCCTTTCTCTAGGAGCCAAGCAAAAGTGTGTTCTTGTGAGCCTGGGCGTTTCAGGAGCTGTCAGTCTTTCTGCACTCTACCAGACTGACTCTGCCTCACACCTTGTTGTCTCAGTTGGGCAGGGCCAGCTTGGTTCAGCGTGTTTTGCAGAGGCACCAGCACCACATTATAGTATTACTGGGCTTCCCTCAGCAACAATGGGGCAGGATCTTTAGTCAAAGCCAGTGGCTGCTGCCACTGCTTCTCAGTGACCCTCAAAGAGATGCTGCCTTCTCTGTCTTGCATCTCTTCTGCAGGGTACTGGAGTCTTCCAGCTCCTGAGGTGGGTCTAGATTCTTCATGACACTATCTTGTGAAAATCATTTGCCTTTTAGATCAGATATGCCTTCTTCAAAGTCCTGTGCCCCCTGTAATGAGAACTCGCTGACTGTGAAGGGGAAAATTGACTGTGAAGCTAATCAAACTGCAACTCTCCAATGGGCCTTCAAGAAATAACTGTGATACTTTACTAGAAGACTAACACAAGTCATTTTTCAGAGTTTGTTCTAAGCTTCAAACTTCTCTAGATGCTCAAGTAACAGCCTGGATTAGGCTGTTCGAGTTTTGTAGAAACATAATTGTCCATTCTGGGAATTCTAGTAAGGCGCCTTAGGAAATAAAAGAGCAACTAAACCCAAGCCAAACTTAGTGCCACTATGTACAACACCTCTCTGTCGCCAGAGAATCTTGTCCAATAACTCTAAACACCCCACAGCAATAGCAGCATGATTCCTATGCTACTTCTCCCAGCCTCAGTGCTGAAGGATCAGCTTCATAGATTCTTCTTGTAGTATACTATTAAACTTCTAAATAATATCCAGGGATTTAAGTCAAGTTGAATGAGATTTTTACTTTTACCTACTCTGCATCACATTTCCTGAGGGGTCAGGAAATGATAAGATGGCATTGCTTTATCTCTGGGATAAGCCTCATAGGGATTAGAGCACTTTAATAAAGCAGCTGCTCTGCTACTTAAGGTAGGGTGGATCCTTCATCTGCTGGAGGTGCTATATGAGCAATTACATTGAAGGAAGCATGGGAGCTGTTGTTCGTGCTACTGGTATAATAGTAGCTAATGAAATATTTTGGCACACCTGTAAAATAGCAGTACTAACCTGGACATACCGCTTTCTAGAGGGTTATGCGGTGTCAGTGCCACAGTGTCCTTTCCAAGCTCAAAACTCAGTAGATACACCTCTCTTGAGAAAAGCCTTCATAATTCTGAGCGTGCATTTCCCTCACCCCACTTGCCTCTCTCCTTCAGGCTGCAAAACTGCAATCTGACAAGCGCCAGCTGTGAGACTCTCCACTCCATACTCAGTGCACAGCCGTCCCTGACAGAGCTGCACATAGGTGATAACAAACTGGGAACTGCTGGAGTGAAGGTGCTGTGTCAAGGGATGATGAACCCCAACTGTAAGCTGCAGAAGCTGCAGTAAGTAGTCACTGGGCTTTTTTGATCATCAGACAGGTCATGCTTGTCTTTCCTTTGAGACAAGCAGGAGTTGTTTTTTTTTGCCAGATGTGGATTTCCTCCTCTTTTGTTTGAAACTGTGTCATGCTTATTCATGTTGGTACGTCTTGTGGGTTTCTAAGAGCTGGGTGTGTGTTCCCATAAGCTTTGTTTAGCCCTCCTGGCAGTGGTGACTATTAATGTAGGACTTCTTAGATGCCCAGGGAAAGGCTGATTCTGCTGCACTTGGTCCTTGTTTTACAAGCTGTTAACTTACCAACCAGCTGAGTATATTTATTCAGATCCCTTTTTTCCCTTCAAAACAAACATGCTGGATTTTGCCTCATATCTGGGGTAAAGCCCCTGAAGGGGTTTAGGAGAGAAGCATGATTCATTTTTATCTTGTCTCTGTGCTTCAGCAGGGTTTGACTGCCAGAGACTCACTGTGTGATACAGCTAGAAGTTCCTCTTAGACAGGACAGCTGAGATAACAGAGAAGTTTGGCAAAAACGATCCTTGCATTAACGGATGAGAATGGGTCAGTCAGGGTAAAAGTGCCCTGCAGCCTTGTGGAGTGCAGGAGCAGTGTGTTGCCTCACTCAGAGCCCATCTAGGATCCCTGTAGTGTCTCTGAGCCTTGCAGGGTCTTGCAATGCCCAGCTGAGCTGCCCTGGTTTGCAGCAAGGAACCTGGGTCTATTCGTAGCCCCCAGCTCTTCCCAGGAAGGCTCGGTGGTGAGGCTGCATGATCTGTTGTAACACAAAACTCAATCATGCGTTCCAAGGCCTGTACATAGGTTTAACGGAGGACTAGTGGAAGAACAGGGTAGGTAATTAGTCTTCTAGGGTCCCCTGGGGTCTAGTTTAAGAATTAATGCCTCCCGAAATGAGCAGGGAGATGGTGTTAAAAAGTCTTACAGTTATCTCTATTTTCATGCCTTGCCTGGTCTCAACTCATGTTGGCATGTTTTCTGCCCTGGCTTACATACACTTTGCCCAGCTGGTGTCTTGCAGGTAGTGGGGCACAGTGAAGACAGTTGTTCTTCCTCTGGACTTCTTTCCTTCTTTCAGACTGGAGTACTGCGAACTCACAGCTGATATTGTGGAAGCTCTCAATGCTGCTCTGCAAAGCAAGCCCACCCTGAAGGAGCTCAGCCTGAGTAACAACACGCTGGGAGATACAGCTGTCAAACAGCTATGCCGGGGACTGGTGGAAGCAAGCTGCAACCTAGAGTTACTACAGTAAGGAAGAGCTGGTCATCTCTGCCTGCAACTAGTCTTGCTGCTAGTCATAACATCTATAAGACAGGAAAAAATAATGTCAGGAATGCTTGAAATGTAGACCAGATTTTTTGCTGGTTCAGATTTCTGTAACTGGACACAGCAAGCTGATGTCTGGGCCATTCGGGTTTGGGGTTTTTCCCACTTTTTTTAGCATGTGATTCTGAGCTGACTCATGCCTGTTGGTACAGTGTGAGCATGTACCCCAGGTTAAACCTGCAATTGCAAGCGGTGACTGCTCACCAGTGTCTGAGAGCAGAGGAACAGTTGCCCTCAGTGGCTCCAGTTCTTACCCCTGACTTACCAGCCAGCTGAGTATATTTATTCAAATCCTTTTTTTTCCCTTCAAAACAGACATGCTGGATTTTGTCTCGTATCTGGGGTAAAGCCCCTGAAGGGGTTTAGGAGAGAAGCATGATTCATTTTTATCTTGTCTCTGTGCTTCAGCCAGAGACTCACTGTGTGATACAGCTAGAAGTTCCTCAGAGAGGACAGCTGATATAACAGAGAAGTTTGGCAAAAATGATCCTTGCATTAATGGATGAGAATGGGTCAGTCAGGGTAAAAGTGCCCTGCAGCCTTGTGGAGTGCAGGAGCAGTGTGTTGCCTCACTCAGAGCCCATCTAGGATCCCTGTAGCGTCTCTGAGCCTTGCAGGGTCTTGCAATGCCCAGCTGAGCTGCCCTGGTTTGCAGCAAGGAACCAGCCTGTGGCCCCTTCTCAGTCTGAACTGGGGGTATTGGTGTGTGTCTAACACAGGAGGTGTGGAGCAACAACTCCAAGTACACTTTTTTCTGCAGCCTGGAGAACTGTGGCATAACCAGCGATAGCTGTCGGGAGATCAGTGCTGTTCTCAGTAACAAGTCATCGCTGATGGATCTCTCCGTGGGGGATAACAAGATTGGGGACTCTGGTCTAGCTGTGCTGTGCCAAGGACTGATGCATCCCAACTGCAAAATTCAGAAGCTATGGTAAGGGTGGGCAGAGGTTCTTTAAATCCCTTTTGCGGCCTCTGAGCGATCTACTTTGTGCTGCTGGTTTGCTCTGAAGTGAAAAGTTTCTCAGTTACACCCTCTAGTGAAACGAGAATGTCTCTACTGCAAATTAGTTACTTACCAAAACTGGATGGAGGACACCATGAATGAGCATGACCGCACTGAAGCCACTTAGTTCAAATTCTGGGGAGTGGGTGAATGGAAATTTGTGATGGTGGTGTCTGGGCTTCCTGTAGAGTCATCTGTCTACTAGAATTGCATGTTCCTATTTTGTTGTTGTTGTTACAGAGAGCTTTTGGTGCAACGGATGGAAAGTGAGAAAGCTGTGAGTTACGATGTATGCATGGGTGTTGTCAAGGATAGAAGAGAATGAGATGATGCAACAAGAAATTCAGAATACTAAAATATGACTTTTTTAATCTTAAGTCATTCTTGGGGTAAAATAATACTTTGTTCTTCCCTGCAGGTTATGGGACTGTGACCTCACAAGTGCTAGCTGTAGAGATCTCTCCAGATTCATCAGTACAAAAGAGACCCTCACAGAGATCAGTCTGATAGACAATAACCTGAGAGACTCGGGAATGGAAATGCTGTGTCAGGCACTCAAGGATCCCAAATGTAAACTCCAGGAGCTTTGGTGAGCTGCTGTCAAATTTCACATAGCCACTGCCTTCTTTGGAGACATCACTGAAGGAAGATGTAGGGGAAGTAATGCCCACCAGATAGATCCTCAGTTGTGATGATTCCATTAACAACTCACGCTGATTGTTACCTAAAGGATTCAGGCTTGCAAAGCTAAAGGAGTTTGTATTCCTGAGCTCACAGACACTTCGAAGATCTGCCCCATAGTCATTGTGTTATAAGCAATAGGAGACCAAGCATCACTTGCACAGCTTCTATATAATATATTTTATCATGCAACAAATGGCAGCTAAGATACTTTTGAAGTTTGAAAGGCCTCATGTAGTAGCAAAATGAGTGCAGTGATCAGATATCTCAGATTCTCCACTGGCTCCAAGCTCTCTCATTGATGAGCCAAAAGACATCTCTAATGACATGAACTGTTCTCACCATCCTCTCTGCTGACAGAGTTAGCTTTTAGGTTGGGATGGTCTGGTATCATAAGCTGGGAAAGGAAAATCTTTCTTTCACATAGAACTTGAACAAGCAGCACTTGAACTTTCTTGCACAGGAAGTTCAGCTCCTGCCCCCCAGCTGGGTTCTTCCCCTGCTGCGGTGGCCTGGGAGTTGATGAGTGCCTCAGGAGTGCACGATGGCCCTGAAAGTGACTGTGAGAGCAGCACGCTTTGTTTCTGATCATTCCTGTGCTTCATGGACATCCCAAATACAGAGAGTCAGAGAGCTTCTGCTTAGAAAGGATGGAGCAGATGGGAGGTTGACAGGAGTACAGGGATTGTGGGAAGGCTTTGGTTCCTGTTCCTGCTATCCAGGCTACTGTGAAACAAATGGGAAGAAGTGAACGGTGCTGGATACTCTCCAGATTCCCCATCTAGATCTCATGTCACTTTGCCTTGCAGGATTAGGGAGTGTGGGCTCACGACTGCTTGCTGCAAGGCCGTCAGCTCTGCTCTCAGCGTGAACAAGCACTTGAAAGTACTGCACATGGGTGAGAACAAGTTGGGAGATGCAGGTGTTGAACTCATCTGTGAAGGGCTGCTGCACCCCACCTGCAACATCCAGTCCCTATGGTAAGGTGCACTGTCAGAAGTTTTATTCTCTATTGCTGTATTACCCTTCCAAGAATGGTGTGCAGAGCAAGGAAGACAGCAGTAGATGGTAACATGGTATTTTTTTGCTCACATGAAACAATTCACACCACAAACTGATGTTTAACTAGTCCACTAGCAAGTAAATGGAAGCCATTAGTGCCTTCGTGTATCCTGTCACTCATGGTCTCTTGCAAATACAGGCTGTCACCCATGCAATGGTGCATTCGTAGCCATCCACAGGTGCTCTCCCAGGTGCAGAAGTAAAGTTCACGGTGCAGTGTACCTTCAGGATCTAAAGCAGTGTGGGGAGGCTGGAGGGATCTTGCTTTTTTCTGCAAGCAGCTCCCTGTAAAGCTTCCCGTGCCCTTCTCTGACCTTGCCCACAAGGCCTCTCTCAGGTGGGACACTGAGATGAAGAAACTGCTGGTCCAAGTTTGGAACATTAATTCCCGTGCATGCCAGTCACAGTGCAAAGCCTACCTGAATTCACCAGTTGTCTCCTGTTTTCTATAGTCTCCGTGGGTCCAGCCTCACTGGTTCAGCCTCACCAGTAGGATTAGGAGGCCAGCTGGAGCATCACCTCCAGCCCTGTGGTAGGACACGACTTCCCCATGTGCCTGTTTTCTTCACAGGCTGGGACTAAGCTCTGGGCTGGTGTGGCTGTGGCCTGCATGATACTTGGGACACTGTGTTTGACTCCTCTGGGCCATTTGACAGAAGCTGGAGCTGTGCTCCAGTGCTTGAGACCGACAGTGAGTGAGTTGAGCAGATGAGTTGTGGGAGACGTAAGTAAGACTTGAAGCCTCTGCCCAGAAAGATAAAATTGCTGACCAGTTAAAGCTACTTGGCTGAGTTGAGCAGATGAGTTGTGGGAGACGTAAATAAGACTTGAAGCCTCTGCCCAGAAAGATATAATTGCTGACCAGTTAAAGCTACTTGGTTCTCAGCTGGGAGGCCTCATTTGCCTTTTTTGGATAGATGGTAGCAAGTCTCTAACTTTAGAAGTTATTTATGATCAGTTTAAACCAAAGAGAAGGTTATATGTGATTTTTAAGTTGGGAATATCTTCTTTAGGGTTCCTTTTCCCCCTGTAGCCACACCCCATTAAGCTTTAGGGAGGGCTTTCTGGTGTTCAGCAGTCGCCACAAGGATGACTGTTTCTGTGGGAAGACCATGGACCAGCCCCTGCTGATGTCTTGGAGATGCCAACCTAACCAGGTTCTCTGGTCTGCGCTGGGGCCACACCCCATTAAGCTTTAGGGAGGGCTTTCCGGTGTTCAGCAGTCGCCACAAGGATGACTGCTTCTGTGGGAAGACCATGGACCAACCCCTGCTGATGTCTTTAGATGCCAACCTAACCAGGTTCTCTGGTCTGTGCTGGGAATGTCTGTGCCTGCTGCCTGAGTGTGGGCTGGTGGGCCTCTCCCTCCTCTCCATCCTCTCCCTGCAGGCTGGGTAACTGCGATCTCACAGCAGCCTGCTGTGCAACCCTTGCCACCACCATGGTCACCAATCAGTGCCTTACCGAGCTGGACCTGAGCTATAACTCCTTGGAAGATGAAGGCATCAGGAAGATCTGTGAAGCCTTGAGGAATCCCAGCTGCAACATGCAGCAGTTAATGTGAGTGATGTTTGTGATCCTGCTTGCATTGCCCTGGCAGGTGGTGAGCCCCAGTGAGTTGGGGAGAGGGGGGTGTTTTGGGCTGTGGGGAAGGGACTGCAAGCACCAGCTCTCTGGGAATTGCACTTGAGGGCAACTAGTCGCATGGGGTGAGTGGGGAGTCAAATGCCATCCGCATGTTGCAGGACACTCCTTGTCCCTCCCAAGTGACATGACCACAGTGTCTTCATCTGCTTTGGTCCATAAGGCCCAAGAACAAGGAGAAGGTGGTGTTGGGGAGGGAGTAATAGTGTCCTATGTTGTAAGGCACGTTTCTGGCTGTTAGGCCAGAATCTCCAACCTAGATGGGGCCCTTGCTGTTATATGATATTCCCATACTGGTGACTTGTGTGCCTTTTTCTTGCCCTAATGGGGGGGTGCTCACTAAACCATCTTGCCTTTTTGTTTGAATGTAGTTTGTACGACATTTTCTGGAGTTCTGAGGTGGACGATGAGCTGAGAGCCCTGGAAGAGTCCAGGCCTGAATTAAAGATAATTTCATGAGCGGTCACTGCCAGCAGAGCAACGTCAAAGCAATGTCCTCTTGTTAATCTGAACTTTTTAATACATAAAGCTAATTAACTTAATAGGGAATTTGCTTGTACCAAAAATGTTTGTGGATTCCCTGAGCGGGTGTCCAGTGTGCTGATCAACCTTCTGTGGATCTCTGGATGTACTAACTCTGAGGCTTATGAAAGAGTTGAACATTTTCACTGCAGCATTACTATCCTTTGAAATAAACAATTACTGGGCAACTTCTAAAAGTGAGTCTCTACCCTTTAGGAGCTCTTTAATCCTATAATCCTTTCTAACGCATTAGTCAGGCTTTAAGGAGGACTCTTTTCCAAAGGCAGGAGGAGAACTGCCTACTGTATTATTACTGGGTTGTGCTTTTGCCAGGTCTCTGGGGAAGGCAGATGTTTTTCAGTCTAAGATGGAGCTCTCCCCTGCCTTTCCCTAGAAAGCAATGGTGACCAAGGCACTAGAGAAAAAAGAAATGAGCAGCTGTTCAACTGTGTAACTTCAGAATTGGTGTCCGTTGAAAAGTGGTTTTCCTACAAACAGAAGATGCTTTATGCAGTTCTGCTAGTATGGGAAACGATTGAATGGTTTGATATGTTTACTCTGGCGAAAGTCTTTGTACAAATAATTAAATGCTTCATTTGTCTACTTACAAAAAGAAAAATAAGATATATCTGTATATTTTTCCTTTAAAGACCAATTCATCACTTCTGAACTGCAATATGACTAATGTCTTATTTTGCATGTTTACTTACAAAGTAAGTTCCCAGCTGAAGCACATCAGCAGAAGATCTTAATCAAGGCCTTAGGTGGACAACAAGTCTAGAAGACATTCCTCTGGATTCGGGGGACGCTGACTACGTTTTCTTGCCCAGTCAGAGTTTTAATAGATGGTGTTACAAGGGAAAATGCAGCTGTTGCACAACGGAAATGCAAAATAACGAATGTAGGTTTGTATTCTACATTTTTAAAGCTAGCGTTGCGCTGCAATGGCCTTGCAGGAGGAATGCCAAAAAAAATATCGTTCCCCAACATCTCTCTTCTTAGACCAGTCATTTGGTGGTTTTGTTCACTTGCAAATCATGTTAAATGGTGTATTTCAGGCTTTGGCTTGAGATGGTCACAAGTTCATCCCATGGAGCCTCCGGCTTTTCTTTGACTTAAGGAAAGCTTTGACCTAAGCATAGTTTCTACAGTGCCCACAAATCAAATGGTGCCCACAAGTAGCTTACTTGTGTCTTCAGGTAGGTGTGAAGGATAGGATTTGTCTTGAGGCTGCCCAAAATGCTAAAAAACCTGTTCCTTTTTGCTTCAAGAGCTATTTGGATTTCTTCGTTGAGGGCAGAAGCAGTTCTTGTGTTTAGAAAGCTGCCCATCCTGAGGGGCTCTTAAATAGGCTTTTCATGTTCATGGTCTGTCCTGGACTTGGCACGCATGGGCTTCTTTCAAGCTGTGGGAGGAAATAGGGCTGAACAGGGGAAAGAGCACATGTAGGGGGAGCCACAAAAATCAGGGATCTGGCTGGGTGTAAAGACAACTCTCTGAAAAAATTAATAAATTTTAGAAGTGGATTTCAGGGAGTACCTGGTGTGGATAGAAGAGGATGTCTGAGAGGGAAGAGGAAGTGCCTCTGGGCTGTTCCCAAAGCAGGTCACAAACAGGTGGCTTGAAGGTGGGACAGTTAACAGGCAAATCCTCCCTTGGCTGCGTCTAGCCGGCAGAATGGGCCAAGGATTGTGTCAACCAAAGTCAAACCTGGGCCAAACTAGCCCGCAGCTGGCACCTGTGCAGCGGCAAGACACGTTCCCCACAGCAGCTCCCGTGCTGACTACCCAGGGGGTGGCACTCTTCCCCTCACACGGCAGTGCAGGACATGGCTACTGCTGGCCTCTACCACTGCGGCGCCTGGGAAATGCTGCTTCCTTAGAGCACCGAGATGGGGCTGTCACCTTGGCCCCACTGCAGGCATTCGGCCTCTGGCGGCGTGCTCCTACCTGGGGATAAGCCCCATGCCTGCCATGGTTCCCACAGTGGTTTTGCAGCGTGGTTTGGAAAGGTCTCTGCAGAACATGCGTGTCCTATTACCAGCTTCAGCAAGAGAAGACACAGGAGCCATATTTTGCCATCTCAATGAGTTTGGAGCATCTCGGGCCAGGCCAGCCTGGCAGAGCTCTGGAAGTCCACCCAGGATTGGGAGGAACCTGCATACTGACCATGTGTTGTGCTTTAGGACAACGTGAAGACTTGTGTTTGGCTCTAAAAAACAGATGTAAATCCTGTGATCCAGGAGCAAGCCGCTCTAGCAAAAGACAATTGTGCTCTTAAACAAGCTTCAAGCAAGGATTTATATTCCTAAAATCTCATCTGTTTTTTACTCACTTCCCTGACAAGCCTTGTCACAACTGTGAACCTGGGAGAGTTGAAAGGCAGAGAATATTGCTCCTGCGTATTAGATGTGTGGGTCTTCACCATTTTAAGCTAAAAGCAGTTGGCAGTAATTGAGTCCCAAACCTTTCATGTGGACTAGGTGTTAGGCTGGCAATCAAGGCCTTGCTCATACCAGGTTCACAGCTGGAGCACTCAGCAGCTCCTGGAATGTTGCAGTCACATTCTGGTTCTCAATCAGGGCAAATGGTTGGACCCACTGTACCAGTGGTTTGGAAACACTGATGTTCCACTAGCAAGGGCTGAGTTTCATTAGTATAATGAAGCTTAAAGACAAAATTATGCAGCCAAAGTAGAAGGCTAAGGAATCCAGGTATGACTTTCAGTTTTAAGCAAATACTAGAAGCTTAAAAAACATGACCCTTGAGATGAAATAGCAAAGAACTTAAATCCAGAGAGAGCAGGTTGTATTTTAGATCTCAGTAACCAACAGTGGTTTAGCATGTGTTAAAAACATCAGGTTTCTGCTAGTAGTTTAGGATTCTGCAATAAACTTAATTTTTCATTCATCACAGCATATGATCTTGTGCAGAGAGGTCACAGTGTTCCAGTTAATGTTGCCAGAAGTAGTTAAGCAAACATTACTGGCCTTGCAAACACGTTATACCCCAACCAAACCTTCTACTTACTTTGGAAGAGCATCCTGTCATGGCTGATAGCTGTCATGGCCCTGGCATCCCTGACTGCTTACTTGCTGCTTGGGCTTTTCAGGAAGAAGCTCCAGCACAGCAAGGCCCCAGGCACCAGCTCCAAATAATACAGATGCTAATAGCAATTTCAGTGCTCCAGTTGAATCTGAACAGGGGAATTAAGCCAGCTGTGTTTGAAGAGTTAACCACAGCACCTCCCTTCCTTTGAAAACAGTGTTTGCCATCTAAGTCACTCCCAATCCTCTACTAAAATAGTCTGAAAGGGAGTTACTTCTTGCCAGAATTCCCTTTTTGCACAGAAAATTATGATTTTTCACTACAATTTCCAACATACCTCTTCCCTTCTGTGTGCTTAATTCCTCAGTCATCCTTTCGTCCCCAGCACCTCCTTTATCATTTCATCACTTTTACCAATGATGAAAACACACTGACAAAAAAAAATCAAAAAACTAAGGGGGGAAGTCCCTCTCCCCATAAGGCAAGAAGACTTTTGACCTTCTTTACCCATTCCCTTGCTCACAGCTGCAAATGAACCACAGACATCTTGCATTTCTCCTGCTGGAGCACGGCATCACATCCCCCTCCTTCCTCGCATCTCCCACTCATCTGGCACCCACACCGTAACTACTAGCCAGTCAAATGCATTCCCAGGTTGGCGAGGGCTTATGAACTGGCAGATTTATGAATATGTGAAGTTAGCCTTGCCTCTCTCAGCTAAAGCCAGCTGCATCCACCTAGGGAGGAAGAAGTGTGCTGGGTCAGATGCCTGCATGGACAATAGGCCTTTCCAAGCTAGAAGGCAAATCGGTGGCACATGGGATTCAGGACCATGTAGCTGGAGGGATGAAAACTTTAACCAGCTGATATTGTCTCACAGCCTGTCTCGTTTGCAACTAAAAGCTGGTATGCAGTGGGAGAGGTGAATTGTTGGCAATTCCTGAAGCCCTTGAGGATGTTCCAGAGCAGAAAAAGTCTTAAGAAGGGCTGCCCTGCCATCTGACTGGCACACAGCAGCCCATAATCTTCACACAGGGAAATAAAGCACCAGCATGACTGTTGTTTGCACATGCACCCTACAAGCAACTCATGCAAATAGTCTGGTGCTGCTCACTGTTTCCTACCCTGCTGGTAATTATCATATCCCAAGAACCACAATGTGTCGTCAGGACAGTGTACTGACCGAAAGTATCCTGCAAAACCAGCACTTCACACCCGAACTTACTTCTTTACACTGTGGGTATTGTGCTTGCCTTGTTTCACACTTCACTTAGATGCTTAGTTCAGCTCCTAATTATGATTTGCAGATGATTAAAGCACCTCTGCTTCTGGATACAGAACCACTCCCCAGGCCACATTGTAACTGAGTAGGAAAAGTTGCCTGCCTTCCATAACTTCTAGGTGTAGCTTAGCTAGTTGAGACAGGTTGAAACAACTGCATAGCAAAAGCAGATGAAAAGCATGTACTCTTAGCCCATGCATTTATCTTGTGCTGCTTATAAGCTTGCAGAGCTGGGCAGACTTCACATAGAAATATGGATTGGTTTCATCTGAAGTAGCAAAGGGTTATAAACGCTCTCTTACAAGCATCAAGAAGCTCAGTCTTGTCTTCATGTCATGCTCCATGCCTTCTTGGCCTGCCTTGGGGCTACAAGGGAGCTTGGTGTGGAGCAGCTCTCACTGTGACCTTGGTGGCCAGATTTTCCAGGTGGGCACCCAAAACACCAGCCCTCCACAGTTTTGCTGGAGTTAATTAAGCAGCACATTGTTCCCCAGATATGCCCTGTTCTGAGCCGGCTTTGCCAAAAATTGGCTCCTGTCTTGCTGAGAAGGTTGGTAACTTGATTTTCTAGCACAGCAGACCAATCTCCTTCCATGCTGGTGGTGGCATGGCATGCATATGCTCTCAGAGGACTCCCAAGGACCTGCTTTTGACACTATTGCTGAAGGTATGATTTTTGTTTAAGTTGCCCAGTGTTGAGTTATGCACCTGGGAGGAAGTGGGAAGGGGATCCTCTTGGTTTTGCAGGGAAATACAATGATGTCCCCAGCCTGCAGGACCCTGGCAGGGCTGTTGGTGCTCTAGTAGGGTAGCCAAGCTCCTTCTGGGGTTGCAGCTCATAGGGCTGTAGTGCTTTTGGAGGGTGCTTGGGAAAAGAGGAGAAGGGAAAGATGTTCTCTGTTTCTTGCAGAGTTGCA